GCCTAGGTTGTTATATTGTTGTTCGCTCTGAAGCTTCGATATCGTGATAGGATTTTTTTACTTCGCGGAAATCACGAAACGCCAGCGGTGAATAAAATCTATGGTTTTTACAATGAATGTGTGATGAAATATGGAGCAGGCATATGGTGGGACTTCCAAGCATGTTTTAACCGCATACCGCTTGCGGGTCTGATATCGAAGAGGGTATGTATTCTCGATTTCATAATCCTTCAAATGATGTAACGGCTGATCGGAAGCAGGGTGTGATCAGAATAAAGATGGTTTTATACTTCACATTTTTGCGCATAACCTCTTTAGAAATGACTGGTATTATCCCTCTTGCAAGTAATTCCAGCTTAGAAGCTATCTGTAGTTATCGTTTCAGGGAATATCAATTTTCATTGTTTATTGATTTTTGGGACGCTGGTAATCGGTGTATAGGGGTTTGTCAACGTGCTCTTGCGGTTTCGATATTCAATTAGATAATTAATACTGATTCTTGCTCTACATAGCAGCCGGAAGTTGCTATAACGTTATGCTGACATATAGAACATGATAACCATCTGTGAATAGCTGGCGTTCAACTAGACTGAACTTTTATTCTTGAAATTTCAACTTCTGGGTAATTTTGAGGGCTGAGTTTTGCCACCATTTGAACCAAAAGTGAAGAACATGAAAATGAATTAGCCAAAGGTAGCCGGAAATATCTGATAGTGTATTAAATACAAACCTTAATAGACACGCGGTATAAAGGAAATACGAATTACACGAAATTCCAATGGATAGATTATGTGCGAGGAAGCCTACTCACCTTCGCGTGTCTGTTCGCGGTGGCTCTGTTCGATAATTATAAAAGTAGAGCATTCTGTAGAAAAATAAAACCTGGCTTCTTACGCTTCTTGCTTGGATTAATTGCGCTACTTTGTGATTCAAATACGTAATTTTGAGGTTTTGTGCATGCATGGGGGTCTGTCACCAGAACTCAGTCATCTAGACGTTATTCGTAACATTCCACGCCCATGCGAGCCCCTCGATCGTGGCCTACTAATAGATCTCACTTGGTCGGACCCCACTAACAAAGGAGAAGGATGGTTCCACT